TCAATGACGTGTATGCATACCTCAGGAGCTTTTCCAAGATGCTGAGATAAAACCATCAAGTTGATGAGTGTTTCTGGACTACTGCTATCCTGTACAGAGAGAGAGGAACCAACACGTAAAAATGTGCTTTTTAAATGCAGAAATTGTTCGTTTTGTTCGTGAGGTGGAAATGGAGAGGGGGGAGTGTACATGGATTCCCACAACTTTTAACTGTTGCTTAAAGAAACTACATTCTAAACTGGCTTCAATTTTGCCTAAAGCTCTATCTACATGTTGATTTTTAATAATTAAAAATAATGGCTTAAAGATACATGTTTATGTAACACTGAAGTAAAAAAGTGTATTTCATTCAAACAGCCCACTCATGAAAATGTTTGATTTCCATTAATACCCAACTGAGGCCTAAATAGAGTATGTTAAACTTTGTAACATACATTTAACCTGCAACAGAACTGGCCCTAGAAGGTTATTAAATTCATTGTATTTTCTATTCATATGTAATAAACTTGGAGCATCATTCATTGCCCACAATACATTAAGTGTGACTTACTTTGTCTAGTGCATCTTGCAGACAACTCTCTGCATCTTCAAATTTCCCCATGTGCATGTATGCAATAGCCTGACCATTGAGTAAAATGACTGTTGGGGCGTATTTGTCCGAAAGCTCTTGGAAAATGTAGTAGGCATCTTGATATTTCTCCCCTCCCTATGTAAGAGAAAAACACCTTCACTGCAAAAATATATACAAGTTTATTGTTGACTCAAAAGAGTGAATTTGACTGTTGTGGGCAGATATGAAGATTCAGGTCACACAGCGTGACATAAAGCAAGAACAAACTCTTTCATTCACCTACCACAGCAAGATTGAACCACGCAAGGGAAAGCTGTGTGAGAGTAGCATCGTCATCTTGAACCTGCAGAAGAGTAATTTGATATTTAAATAATAACAAACCCAAGACAACACTCCAAGCTCCTCCAAATCAGTAAATTATGACAATGCAACTTAGGGTTAAATACTGGCCCCAAGAAAAAAACTAACAGACAAAGTACAACAGCCAACAAAACAAAAACAACCAAAAAGAAAACTCACCTGCATTCTTTTAGGTTCTTTCCTTTGAAACAAGATAACCAAAAGAATGATTAATACATTTTTGCTAGAATTTTCCTTTTCAATTATACCGATTTATTCTAAACCTCAAAGATGATCTAAAATTAAAATGTACACGTACTTGGCCAGATCAACTCTATCCATGCTGATGAAAATTTGTACTGACAGAGCTGAGCTGAAAAAAAAATAAATAAATAAAAAAAAAAACCATTATCCAAACATTTGAAGCTGCACACATTTGATGTGTTATCCACTTAAATTTTTTCAGGCTAAAATGATTCCAAACTAGTGTGTGTGGGAATGAAAGTAGAACAAAGAAGAGCAAACCTACAAATAAAATTGGTTCAATTAATTTTGACCAAGAATTCATTTTGAGTTTTCAAATATGTACAGCTGTACACATAATTATTTGGGGAGTCTTGGGAACTTGCCCAAACACAGTGAAGCCTCTAAGACAAAAATGCAAACAGAGAGTAGAGGTTTCTCCTTACCACTCCAATGACTCAGACTGATGAAGGCATCGTAATGCTGATTCAAAATTCTAATTATGAAAAACAAAAGTATTCTGAACCAATTGTGTGAATTTTCACCGTCACATCACCACAGAAGCCCTGATACATATATTATGGAAGTTAGGGGAAGGAGACATAAAATAAATAAAGCATTTAATTCCCCGTAGAAATTAAGGCGTACTGTAACTTCTCCCTATCATACCCATACGTGATCCAGCAAACAGGTAATGAGAAAACACAGAGTTATCAGGTAAAAGGTGTTAATTTGATCAAACCACCTCCCAGTTGGCTCAATAGGTTACAGCGCCGGACTGTTGTATGGGAGGTCGAGGGTTTGAGCTCCGGCTGGAACAACACTTAAGGTCTTAAAATAACTGAGGAGAATGTGCTACCTTTCTATAATATCAAGAAATGGATAGAAATTCTAAGGACGAATAAACCGTAGGTCCCGTCTCCTGCTTCTATTAATTAGTTAATTTGGTTAGGCAGGGGACGTTAAAGAACCCACTCATGAGATTACTGTGATGTGGTCTGGCCTGTTTACTGGGGATTAGGGGGGTCTGGCCTCGTCATTGAAGATGCGGGTTCCACTGTAATTGTCTAAGGCTGTAGTGGTCTCCCTGCCCAAGATAATTAGGCAAAACTTAATAAATAAAATAAATAACAATAAATAGAGTCTGTTCGCGTGACGTCATATCAATGTTCAAAAACGAGGCGCCCCCATGTTGGAGGAGTGATTCTCGAGATGGCGGTCGGTGAATTGAGAAAATATGCGTCTTCGGACAAAGCGATTGTGGATTCCAAGCTTATATTTTCAGCTTATGCCAATTCACTGGAAGGTAGTATTAAGAAAAGGTATGTCGAAAAGATCTCAGTGATCAGCATGAATCATTTGCTCATTCCGGTGCAAAAATGAACTTCGGAATGCCTTCCTCCTGTCGAAGCTTGTGATATTTTGTTATATCTTGTGCTCGAGACCAGCTTCTACACTAAGGATCAATTCAAGGATTTCCGAAGCCTATTTGCCCACAATCAAATGGTTTCTGGTTTTGTTATAAGTGTTCTTGGCCAAATAATCTAAGATAAATTTGTTGTTCTCGCTAAAGTAAGGCATTCGCAAAGGATGAATCACCCCCACCTGCAGCTCTTGATCATAAAAACCACAGAAGGAACTGTTGTTTCAGTGTATTGTGCTGGATGTATGGCTGGGCTGGGAGAATGCTGTTCTCATATCGCGGGTGTTCTTTTTTAGCTGGAGGTCTGGACAAGATTGAATGGGGAACTTGCATGCACACAGGTAAAATGAACGTGGCTTTTACCTTCTGCAGTAAAACAAGTAGAGTATGCGAGAGTGAAGAATATTAATTTTGCGTCGGCCAAGAAACTAAAAAGTGAACTTGAGAAGTCAAAGAATCTGTCAATTTCTCGAGCATTGAATCAATTCTGCAGCTCTTATTCGCTCTCCAGGCTCATTCACCTTTACAGCTTTTCTTTGCATACCTTCCTGCTCCTCAAGTTCTTTTTTGCATTTTCTCCTCTTGGTAATCCTTTGTGCTCTTTCTTGTTGTTGTTGTTCTTTCCTCTCGTCCGATTCCTTTAGTTTGTCGTGCTCCAGATGTAATCTAGGAACCCAGTCTGGGTTTAATCGATCCCATAATTGTGCTGCTTTTCCCAAATGAAAGTGGATACCGCAAACCCGGTTATTTTCTAGAATTTTCACCGTCAAGTCAGCTCGAATAATGGCAGCTAACCACCGAGTTTGCCTTTGGGTGGACAAAATCTCGGTTTCTTCCCCTTGATTGGTAACAACGTTTGGCACCCGACAAAAGCAAAGCCCTGGATTCTTCTTTTTGTGGTTAGAACAGCCAAAGACGAGGCAAAATGATGGCATCCCTCGAGAAATTACGCTTTCGAATAACACAACTTGCCACAAGTGCTATATATTTTCACTCCTCCAGCATGGCGGCCATAAAATTTCTCTGACATCATAGTCATGTGACCGCACACAAGTTTGCTTTTATTCTTCTTCTTCCAATTGGCTGCATGGCAACTGTGGGTGTTTACTTTATCATCGTGTTGGTCTACAATAAGATGCGTCCGACAGAACGACGCATGGAAAACATTCACTTTAAATGCCGCCGAAGTGCCTTTTTCTGTTTAAGTTTCAGCTACTTCCCTCTGGTAAAGCAAACTCTCTCCATTTTATGCCCCTGCCAAAACGACGGTGATATTCTGTACATGCCAATTTCTCCCTGGATTGAATGTGCATCTGATACCTACAGAACTCTATCAGCTCTTAGTTTCGTCTCTGTGGCGATCTGCGTGATTGGGTTTCCTTTGCTTCTGGCCTCACTCTTGTTTTTCTTCTTTCGGAAAAGAGTCAGTGTGAGCCCTGAGGATCGTAAAAAACTTGACACGTGGCTTGGTCCTGCATATTTACCTTACAAACCAAGGTGTCAGAGGTACTTTGAGCTCGTCATGCTTCTCCGTCGCGTATTGCTTGCCGTTGCCTTGTCCATGATTTCGTCTTCCTCTTCTTTACAAACCTTCGTTGTCTAGGTAATTCTAGTTGGCTCCGCAACTGCCCATCTGCGTTTGCATCCTTATAACGATATTCCACACCACAGGTTTGCCTCCGAAAACTTTTTTGAGCCTCTAGTTTTGTTGGCGCTGTCCATGTCTTTTATGCTGTTGAGGTTCTCGGCCTTGGAAAGCTCTATGAGTTATATAACAGCTTACGTTTGGATCGTTGTGATTGTCAATTCTTGCATCTTCCTTTTATTAATTGGCACTATTTTCTACCGTCTTGTTTTAACCGGGCAGGATGACAGTAGGTGCTGTTTTGTCCATGGAAGAAATAGAGGGGGTGAGTGTGAAGAAAGAGACCATTTGCTTTCCTTTAACGGAAGACAGCGGAGATAAGTTGAAGCGAATAACTTTGTTTAAGGTCTTATTCTAGGAAAATCTAATTATTTCATGGGTGTGGTTTATGTT